CCGTGTATGTGTGTGTGTGTGTGTGTGTGTGTGTGTGTGTGTGTGTGTGTGTGTGTGTGTGTGTGTATAAATAAAAATTTTGTCGTAAGATATCTTTAGATCTTAGATTCAATCTTAGATTTTGAAGTCGATTGATTGAGTCATCTCAAAGATATTCAAAAAATAAATTTTTCTAAATAACTTTTAAAATATTTGACTAATCAACTCCAAACATCAAAGACACTTTTTGAAAAGTACTGATCAAATGCCTAACAAATCAAAATCAAACAACGCGGTCAAAAGTTAGAGCTTTGTAAGCATTGAAATTAAATATATTTAATAAATAAGAAAGGGAAGTTTAAGGGATAGTGGATTTCTGAATTTTTCTTCATAAAATGTATCTTCTCTTTTTTCGTCCTTAAAAGTGTACAGGACTTGCATTCTCTTCTGATATATAAGACTGAAGAAGCGTAGGTTTTTTGAGAGCGTGTCATAGTAACTTGGTACCATACGGAGAGAAGACCCTTGTATTGAGAGTTGAACAATTGAGTCTATGAAGGACTTGAGTTTCATTCTTTCTCACTCTCATGTCTTAAACAACACTGTTTTTTCCATCCTTCTCAAAAATAATGTTCTCGCTTTTACGATGTAACCCTGGAGTCATAACCAGAGTGAATACAATAGACCGCACGCCATTTTCACCACATCTATTCTTCCTTCCTGCTATTAATTCCTACCACTCATGGATTCGGTAGAAAAAAGAAAGAGATGAAAGAAATAACGGTAGCAAAGCAGCCTAGTCGCAAAAGTTCATCTCTTCTCTCTTTGGTTAAACTATTTTCCTTTTCTTCTTTTCCTTTCCGCTTTATCATAATTTTATTTTATTCTTTTACTTTTACGTCTTCGGTGCCTTTCTTCTTCTACTCTTAATCTCTTATATATCTTTCATTGAAGCTTTTACTATCAGCGAATAAAGTAAAGGAAACTAAACTATGTATGAAGAGGAAAACATTTTCAGCCAAGTTAGCCCTATGGGAAGTAATCAATTACTCTCAGGCAATTAAAATAAACGAAAAAAAAATTATAATATGTAATATACATATAGTTACACCATATATAGGCGCATGAGTATATAAAGATATAAAGTTTTGCTTTTTTTATACTACACTACATACCTCCAAAACGTAAACCTACTTTGTGTTAGTATGTATGTATATTATCAATAGTTTTAGGCAGCTTTTAACATGAATAAAACCGCGACTTTTTGGATCTTTGCCAATCGCCTCACGATTTTTCTAGTGCGTTAAATTCAACCCAACTTGCCAGAATAAGATGATGATGATGATTTTAACCAAAACTTTTTTGATTAACTATACATTTAATATAAATATTATATTTTTGTAAATTAAAAGTTATATTTATCTATAACTAACAAATCGGTTGTAAAAATGAACAAAAAAATATCATTATATAAAAGTTTATTTACTGATGATAAATGAAAGCTATTTTTATTTCAGCTTATCAATGAGTAAAAAATACATGTATGTAAATAATTGTATAATTTTTCCATATTTTTTTAACCGGTACATACGTAATATAATAAAGTATTATTAACACAATAAAAATAAATTCCGAAAGTAATTAAACAAGAAATAACGCTCCTATAAAATATCTTCAGGTATTAATTACATTAAAGTAATATATTTTATTAAAAAAAATATTTTTTCACTTTTTTTAAAAATTTTATAATGTTTTTTAAGTGTTAACCCATATCACTGAATAGATTTAGATAGAAAAAAAGAAGCGTTCGGTCTCTTTTATACAATATAAAAAGGTAGATTTCAATGAGATATATAATAAAAGAAAACGATTGACCCTGCGGATAAAACTTAAGAGTTCACACCTTGCTAGCTCAAACACATAATTATATAAATACTTTTCAGCTTAATTTTTGAGCTTTCGATTCTCATAAATGTTGTGTTAATAAAAAAAATATTAGTCATGTTAATCATGAAAAGAATTAAAGCATTATATTTTCGTTTTTGATGCCATCCTAATTTTCTCTAGAAATGTACTTTAGTAAAAAAATATTTTTATATTGGTTCCTATATGAGTTAAGAAATATTTTTATAAAGTTTGACGTATGTAGGTCTTACAATTTAAAAATCACGGTAGCATTTACTGAAAAGTGTGTGTTTTGGGTAAGCTACCTGCACAACTCGCTTACTCATTCGAAGTATATGAACGATCTTGAAACTCATTCTCAGACATCACTATTCTATGGGGAAAGGAATATTCATTCCAAATTTCAAGTCAATAGGTCTGTATAGTTTTGGAGATGTCATGATGAGTAAATGAAAAGAATTCATATAAATAAACTTGGATATTATTTCCATTTACTCTCTGTTTAAAAATTCACTATCGTGAATTTTTTAATTTTTTTCAATGAATATTTTTAAACAGGACTATGAAGAAGCCTCTATAACTTTATCGTTCTCTAACTTTGACTCTTTACCATTTCCCACTAAAATACAGTGGAAGAACTCATAAACAGCTGCCGTATATTCTGTAACTTTAATACCTGATGGAATTCGAGATACATCGCAGTCAGAATTAAAGAGTCACCACCATAACTTAAAGATGTTTTTCAAGTTTCTCTCATTCTGTAATTTACATAAGTGGTACTAATTCGAAATAAACTTCTTTACGAAGAAAATTCGAAAACAGTCCGAATACACCAATTTATTATGACTTTGACACCTGTTCCTAAATTCCTATCCTTATATATAGTCACTGTTGATAAAAAATGGTTCAATTGGAGATACGACCTCTTTCTTTCTCTGTCTTTTCTTCAAAAGGTGTAGTTCACGAATTTTGAATAGACTGGGACTAATATAAAAAGGAAACTAAATTTTCTAAAAAATGCTTGATTATAAATAAAAATAAATCAATCAATTACATATTAAAATTATTATGCTTGATAATAATATTTTAAATCACATAAGAATATTTCGAAACGGTGGTAATAATTTTATTCTACTTGATGTGTTGATTAGTTGATTAACATAAAAATCTTCTATTAATTTTTTAATATTTTTAGGCTTCAGTTTCTCCCGTGCATTGACCCCTATTTGTATTCTAAGTTATTTAATTTAATATGTGAATATTATATTATAATCTTTACTGATATATATTCACGAGGGAGAATAAAAATATTTCGATAAGTACTTATTATCACCTCAATATAAATTCACAATAAACAATGAATTCCTTTTTTGGTATATTTTGTCATTTGTAAAAATATGTGGATACATTTTTATTAAAAAAACCATTAAATTTCCATATTGATATGCTTTTATTATATTATCAATATGCCGTTGATGTTGATGAGTGTTGATGAATATTGATGAATGTTGATAATTAATAATTATTTTATTTAGTGTGCACATTACTACAGTGGTACAAGTTGGATAAGAATATTAACAAACTACAAACCACATGAAGGGGAATCATCTTTAGCATCAATGCCAAATGTAATGTCTAACGTTATCTGATTGTATGTATACATCACATGTGATATTTCAGCTCGTCAAAAGCAGATACATAAGGGTGAATAAGAGAAAGAGAGCTGTAAAATAAAAGCCATAGCAAGAGCATGTATATGTTTATATCTCCTATATTATATATATATACGTTGAGCGATTCATCCTTGCTGGTAATAAATCTCAACGTATTCTCGAGAGACTCGGTGACAGATCATAGACTGATGTATGATCTACAAAGCTAGGGTGAGTAATTAATGAAGCTATTTATCAAAAAAATTTTTATAATTTTTTTTTTGTGTAAAATTTTTAGAAAAATTCTATCAAGTACAAACAACGTGATGTCAGCGCGCGGTGATATACGTACATATATGTATAAATGCTTGTGTGTACAAAAATCATGGGTAAATTTTGATGAAAATTAATTTAGTAGATATTTGATAATTGAAAATTATTGTTTTAACAAATAAATTAATGACATTAAAGTCAGCTGTCACTTAATAATTTTTTAATAAATAAATTTGGTCCAAAAAATTACTTCTAAAAAATTGCATTTATAATTTTTTTAAATTTCTACATGTCAATTTGTTGTTCTTATTTTTTTTGCCAAAATTTGTTTGTTAAAAAAATTCTAAAAATTATTAAATATCTGCTAAATTAATTCTCATAATAAATTATAGTAAAAAAAAAATTGACATGTAAAAATTTTAAAAAATTAGAAATGCAATTTAAAATTAAAAAATTATCTGGAGACTGCTAACTTTAATAATGTCATTAAAATTTGTTGTAATGTAATGCGTTGCAATGGATAAACGGAAGAAAAATGACGAGAGAAAAAGTAAAAGAGGGGAATTAGATCCGGGGTGAGAATATGGAGAATTGGATTTGGCAGACGTAACGTTAACGTATAGTAGCTCATGAGAGATACATTGATGACAAAAGTGGGATGAGGGGGGGGGGGAGGGGAAAGAAAGCAGAGCCATCGAATGTTCCTCGAGGTCCAGGAGAGGGTGGTGGTATATAGTATATAGTAGGTGAAACTGGACAGCTACCAGGACGACGAGTATTTAAGGGAGGCTCAATGCCGACGCGCGCCAGTTGTACCGTTTTTGTCAAGCCGCGAGGCATTAGTTGGCATTTAAAACTTATCGTCTGTTCTTTACTCCGTACCACGTGCCGTTACTTCTGACAGATAAAATTTCCGACAAATAAATAAAATAAAAAAACGTGTAAAGTTTCAATAATATTAAAAGAAGAAAAAGTTGATTTTTTAATGTGCCTCGTGTTTGTTTTATTTAATGCTACTGACAAAATAAAATGCTACAATTAGATAATAGACATGTTGAATGATTAATTATTTTTGTTTGACAGTGATCAATCAAATTTTGACTTGTGTTGACATATATTATTCTTGTTTATACTATCATAAATTTATTCCATGAGTATATATGTCAATTGTATAAATATAAATATTGTACAATGTGCTTGAGGATATTAGTTATGTTTTTATTAAAACCAATCGGTGGTGAAAATAAAATAACAAAACTAATGATTTTTATATCATATCTACTGTTACTTCAATTAGTTAGTGGATTCAATAGCCAAAGATCTATGTACTCAACAATCAATTCAACAAGCTCTCACGGTAACTTTATGATTACACGGATTTTACCAGACGGTCAAGTACAAAAGACTGTCAAGTGGAATGGGATTTGCGGCAAAGAGACAATAGTTAGTTGGGGGTATGCTAATTAATACAAATTCTTATTTTATAAAATTTTCTTTTAGTCTTTAAGATATATAACAATGACGTCTTTATGAAGCCTTCAAGTTAAAAAGCTTTTAAATTAGCATATATTTAATAGAGTTAATTTTTATTTAAATCTGTTAATAAAAATTAGAATAAAAAAAAATACACTGACACTTTTATATTTTTGGCATTGTTTTAGAAAGGGTCGACCGTAAATCTGCTTTGTGGGTTTAATCCTTAAAATGGCAAGTTAAGTGAGCGAGGATTAGAAAATCCGTTGATGTTTTTACACTTGGTTTTTATCATCTGTTTGTATTCTCACGGAACTCCCGATAACCAATTTTATCCAAGATATACATTTAATTTAACTAAAAAAAAAAAAAAACACAGAGAAAGCACTTTACACACTCTAAACATTGAAGTGGTTAAGTAAATATTAACATCAATAGATTTTAAATCTTCAGCATTTTTACACCTGATAAATAATCCTGATTGTTCGTTTCTATTCGTTTATTATTTATAACAATATCATTTTATATATAATACATGTATACTTATATTGGATATGGATATAGAAGTAAAGACTTGTGTCAGACCATCCATCAAATTAACCAAGTCATGCACATTAAATCTAGTGTAAATTATTATCTCGTAACTTTGACCCTCCGTCAGACAATCCGCGTGGGGATTAGAGTAAAGAGAATAAAAGATACGTTATATAGTACAGTCCAAAAAAAGTGAATAAGATAGAATAGAGGTAAAAGAAAGGAAAAGTTAAGTAGAAAGTCGTGGTGATAATGTCTTTGCTGCAAGTGACAATATAAAGAACGAAAAATCAATAATGATATCCTTATTATATTCAAAGATGTAAAATGGATAATAATATATATATATAAATATGTATTTTTTTTTTTTCTATTATTTTCAGAGATATAAATGTCACTTTGAGAGAGATTGGGGCAAACCAGAAGAAGCTACAATTGATATACGAAGGAGATAGCTTAACTGACTGTGTAGACGATAGACCAATTGATCAGGATATTTGTTATGATAGTGATGACGATGATGATAGTGTCTGGACGGGTGACATTCAAGAGAAATTTCAAATTCTTGATCAAGTTGAAGCGCCACGTGAAATTAAATGGATTGAATCACATGATAATCTTCATCGTCGTTGTCATCTTATAAAATCTCAAACAAGAAATCTAGCGTTACGACAACATCTTAAACACAGGTGAAAAATCTATCATATCAGTATCTGTTATGGATTTTTTTATTTTTTTTATTTTATTTTAAAACAAATTTATTTCATTTAATTGGTAGGATAGTAGAGAGAAGTCTTCAACAGATGGTAATAGCGCCAGGAACGAAATGGTGTGGTCCACATCGAACTGCTTCTTCTTATAAAGAACTTGGGGGCTTGAACAGCGTTGATAGATGTTGCAGACGACATGATCACTGTTATCGAGCTATTCCACCTTTTTCCGAACGTTATAACTTCTGGAATTACATGCCATTTACACTGAGTCACTGTGGATGTGATCAAAGGTAAGAATATATTTGTTATTGTAGTGTACACGATTAATGGAATAGTTCCAAACTTGTGAATGGATATTTAAAAATAATTCAGTGGTTTTAAATGGTGATTTGAAAATTTGTAAAATAATGAAACAGGCAAGGTGAAAATATCACAAAAATAATAAAGAGATTGCGACGACATGGACGTCGAAAACGTCGAAATAGGCGTGAACTTTTTCTGATGCCTGGTACTCAGTGGTGTGGACGAGGAAATCGTGCTACTAAATATACAAATCTCGGTGGTTTTGGTAAAGCTGATGCTTGCTGTCGAAGACACGATACTGCTTGTCCGTTTTATATTCCTGCTTTTGAAACACGCTATGGCCTCTTCAATTGGGGCATTTCCACGCTCATGCATTGCACTTGCGACGAGCGGTAAGCTGGATCTGTACAATGCAGCATGATTAAATACTTGAAAAATATTTTTCATTTTATCATCATAAATTATTGTCCGTAGGGCAATTTCACACAATTACTTCGAGCAAACGTGGTCTGGAATCTGTAGAATTGTAAATAGAAAATGTTTTAGGTGTTTGATTGTATTGTATGCATGATGTTGATCTTGTTTTGTTCTGGTGTGAGTTTTTAAATTATATTATTAAATAATTTTATTAATAATATAATTTAACTGCGATTGTCATTTTACTTTACATAATTTTTTTAATTTTATTTACAGCTTTCGAACGTGTTTAAAAATGGCAAGAACATCAGCAGCTAATTTTATTGGAAGAATTTTTTTTAATGTTGTACAGACTAAGTGTTTTATTTTAAAACCTCAAAAAGTTTGTGAAAAATCTTCATGGTGGGGAAAATGTGAAAAATATCAGTATCGAAAACAAGCACATTTGCGTAATAACATATCGTATTAATCATTTTTTTTATTTATATTTATAGAAAAAAGAAAAGTTTTAATTTAAAATTTATCTTAAACTTATTTATTTATTTTTGATTTAATAGTAAGTATATAAAAGAACTCAGGGATGTTGTACATCATCACACGCACAATTCAAGAGGCTGATTATCCCGTTCCATGTATATGACAATACGTAAAGATTTTTTTATTTATATTATTATCAACATGAAAAATAAAGGGCATCTCATGCTAAAAATCGGTCACTTGTTCACTCGTGAAACTATTTATGTTTGTCAATTCAAAAACTTTGATAAATATATAATTCATAAAATTAATTCAATCGTTGATAAATATTTTTAACAAATTTTGTGACACCATAAAAAATCTACTTTCCTTTAAAACTGTCTTTGCTAGAAGTTTATTAAAAATCGCCGAGCTATATCAATTTCATCATTTGCTATTTTGTAGAAGAAGCATAAAACTATTATGACCTTACTTTCTGTTCCAACTTTATAATAAACAGTTATATCGAAGTTTTTTTGTTTCCATATGTATTTGATGTGTTATATGAACTTAGTTTGGACCGCTTCCAATCTCTCAGTTTGAACTCAAAAGTGGGACGACCCAACAACAGTATACCGTGTCCAGGACAGATTGTTCTTACCCTAAATAATAGAGATGTTTAAAGAGTCGAAATTTGATCGGAGTCAATTCCAAAAGACAGAATATACAATCTTGTTTAGCTTTATTTTCAATATTATTTCTCTATTGAAAAAAGTCCATAGCTTTATAGCTTTATAGATTATATTATACATTAACAGTGCTGTGTATTACTTATGAAATATAATAATTATTTGACTGACTTTAGCCAGCAAAATATTTTTTAATTTATCTATTTAGTAATTCTTTTTACATATTTTTATAAGGTATAGCTATTTAACTGTTTCACGAGAATGGGCGTTTCTCCCGCGTTGTCTTAATCGACAGCTAAAGAGCATACTCTATTAACTCCGACTAGACGGCTAAAAAGACGATTTAGACTAACTTTCACGTCAGGGGGTTAATTACTGAATTAAACAAAAATTTCCAATGAATCAAATGTAAAACTAATAAATAATCATATTTATTAACCAATAAATCAGATTTTTTATTGATTTTATAGTAAATTAATTGAGACTATTAATTTTCTCTGATGCTTAAGCGATTTATAAATTTTATATCTTTAAAAAAAAAAATTTGTTAAATAAACCATAAATGTATTTTTCATTGATATTAAATACATATGAAGCATAAAGTTAACTGGAAAGATCTCTAAAAATTGGTCAATTTAGCATGAAATGCCCCGAAAATAAAAAGTATTATATAATTTTCATTAGAGACATATCGTCTTCTTTAGGAGAGACTTAGTAGTTTGTATAAGTATATCTATCCTAAAGTTTTAACATCTGATAAAAAATGTCCAGTGTAATAAACAAAATATTTTGTAGCGTATTTATAATGAAAGGTATTTTATAGATCTGTACATAAATATTAATTAGAATAAAATTAGTAATTTAGGTAATCTTCAATAAATAAAATTAGCAAAAAATTAAATTTACAATAATAAGGCAATTCGTTATAATTTATTTGAAGAACATGTAAAATATTTTTTATTCCATTTGAATTGTAAAGGGTATACCTAATAGCGTAGAAATATTATATGTAAATTTTGGATTGTAAGTATTTTAAAGCGAGTATGTATACAACTAAAATCAGAATAATAATAGTTATAATTATTACTTTTTATATTTATTTAATTTTGAGCGACCGTTTTGGAACTCAAATTTAAATAATGAGACTAAAATCACCAGACATTCTGACAATTTTGTAAATTTAAATAAAAAATAAATATTTGTGGAAAATTGCACTTGTAAATTTTTTTTTATCATAAATTAATTGTTATAAGAATCTAAAAAATTGTAAGACGTCTGTTGATTTCAGGATCATTATTTAAATTATTAGGTTGTCCCAGAGAAAGAGTGAAATTGAATTTTTAGGCAAGGGTACAATGAAGTTCCCTCTTCAACCTCGACTACACGAGTCTGAAATTCTTAAAATTAAAAATTAGAGAATATATATACACGTTGATAGACGAACTCATCTACTGGTTTTTTGTGAGAAATGGTAGGCAAGGCGGCAGACGAAGTTATAGAATGAAAAATAGTGAGTGGCTCCACTTTACATTGAAAAAAAAAAAATAAAATAAACATCTCAACGCTTCGCTGGTTTTTATAAACAAAACACAATTAAGTATTGTAATAAACATATAACTCAATAAAAAAAAAAAATTGTTTAATTATTTAATGTATAATTATTATTAAACGGAGTAGAATTAATTGAGAAAAATATTTTCACATGATTATAACCTCAATACATGTCAATGGCTAAATTTGATAAATTGAAAAATATAACTGGGAAAATAGTCTGTGATAAAAGCGAATTAAATTTAGGAATTACTTTGAAAGGAGGTCAAAGTTTTAGGTAAGTAGATTATTTAATAGTAAATCTAATTTTATTAATTATTTGGTCTGTTAAAGTAAAGAATATTCTTTTGTAAACAAATTTTAATATCAGTTTGACAGTAGCCGACAACTAAGTTTTTGAAATGATTACAACAAATTTTAGATTGATGGCTGTAAAAGAGTTCTAAAAAATTTTACAGGAAAAATTACTAATAACTTTTGTGCATTTTTTGATATTTGTATTTTTGTAATATTTAATGACAATTACTTTAAACAACTTTTGATAATTTTTAGAATTTGTTTATATCATATCACTTATTTATCTTATTTAATTTTAACAGATGGAAAGAAATAGAAAATGGTGAAAAGTATCGAGGAATTTTCGCTGGTGAATTATGGACACTTCATCAAGATGATCATTATATTTATTACAAAACACATGGATCCAAGTTAAAAAACTCGATAGATTGTGAGAAGGAATTATTTAAATACTTTAATCTTCATATCTCTTTGAAAGATAATTTAGAGATTTGGTCTAAAAATGATGAAAATTTTAAAAATTTTACTAATATTGTTGAGGGTGTTCGTATATTAAACCAAGATATGGTAGAAAATATTTTTTCATTCATTTGTAGTGCTAATAATAACATAATTAGAATTACTGGAATGATAGACAAAATGTGTGGTCATTTTGGCAATAAAATATGTAAATTAAACAAAGAATTTTACTACGATTTTCCAACAATTGAATCCCTTGCACAAGATAATGTTCAGTCTGTATTGTCAAAAGAAGGATTTGGTTACCGTGCTCCTTACATTCATAAAACAGCCAAGAGATTAGTTGAACTTGGTGGTCGCAAGTGGTTAGAAAATCTTCACAAAGATCAAGGAGCAGAGTATGAAAGTGTAAGACAAACAATTCAAGTTTTGCAAGGAGTAGGTCCAAAAGTTGCTGATTGTATTTGCTTGATGTCATTAGGACATTTGGAATCTATTCCAGTGGACACACATATTTATCAAGTTGCTCGAGAATTTTATTTACCTGATTTAAAAGAAGTTTCATCGGTAACTCCGACGATGTATCAAGAAATCAGTCGCCATTTACGCTCCAAGTGGGGACCACTGGCTGGATGGGCGCAAGCTGTTGTATTTTGTACTAGAATTAAGAGTAATCCAATTAAAAAAAAAAAAAAAAAAAAAAAAGGATGATATTGATAACTCGAGAAAAAAATTAAAAAAAATATGATAAATTTAAACTAAAACTTTGTTTTTTGTTTGTATACTGAATATTTTACTAAAAATTAAATTCATTTTAAAATAGAACTTTAAAGATAACAAATTACACATAGTTAAATTATTATAAGTATTACAGATTAATTCTGAAAATCAATAAATAAATAGAGTCAACTTTTTCATTGTTTTATAAAAGAATAAGCTTGTATATTAGGAGAATTATTTTATTCTAAAAAAGTTAACTGCCGCTTAAACTCTACAGAACATAAGGAGTCATTGTTCTATGTTCACCACTGATACGGTAGGATAAAAAGATTTATATATTATTATTAGTCGTACTACTATTATACGGATTAAAAAAATCATAAATAACAGAAAAATTTAAAAATATATTAAAAAGAAAATTTATTATTATTATTATTATTATTTTATATTTCGCATACATTTTAAAATAAACCAAGAAAATAATAAGTATTAATTAAAAATTTATATTCAAAAAAATTCCTACATTCTTTTATTCAACTGTTACTTTCATAAATGATAAAACAATAGACCTAAATAAGAGTATACCTGTAAATTGTTATTTTTATATAACTCTTCATATTTGCGCGCAAATTTTCATCAAATTTCCTTTCCGGGTATAATCGATCAGTTTTAAATTGGTTGGTATTACTGTTGCATTGCCAATTATTAACACAATATAAACCAATTAGATAAAAATTAATTGAAACTATTATTTGAATTATTTTCAGCTGTTTGAAAACATAAACTTGTATCTTTTGAATATGATCAAAGTTAATAATTTCTATTTATCATAAAACTTGTTAGATTAATTAAAAACAGACGTCATCATCCACTTCCTATAGTGTAAATAATTAGTTTAAAAAATCACGACTAGATGTCATTGCTCTCAAAGTTTTCTCAACTTAGTTCTTTAAATTAACTAAATAACCGAACCACCGACGCGCTACCATAGCAATAAAGATGATAATAAGGAGCGATAAAGAGAGCAAGGGAGAAAGAAAGAGAAAAGTATTTCTCTGTATTCTATATAATAGCTTGTAGAAACTTAAAGTTAGAGGGCCAAGGACAATTTTTGTGTCAACATAGTGCCTAAATAACCGCTTATCATCATAAATATTAATAATTTTATATAATAAATTTAACTAGTAAAGAAAATGTGATAAGAGTAAATATTTTTTTTGAAATTTATAAGTAAAAATATATATATATATATATATATACGTATTTAAAAGTTCCTACAAGTGAGTAACTTATCGTGTTCTTTTTTTCATTAAAATTATTTTTTTTCGCGCAATTATCCGTTATATTTTAATTAAAAAAAAAAAAAAAAAATAAGATAATATAAGCATACAATGCTCATTTAGGAATGATTATTACAAACATAAAATCACATGTTGACGAATTGAATTTTATACCTGTTACGATATTGTTGTTTAATTTAAAACAAAAATGGAGATGAAGTTACCTGAACAAGTGCATCAAGTCTGCAGATTATGTGGACAATTCGAAAGTATATATATTGATATTTTTGGCGAGGAAGGTACTAGAAGGTTGCTTGGATTAAAAATCCATAACAAAATAAATATTGTGGTGAGTTTTTATTCGTTAAAATTTACTTTATTTGTTTATTTATTTATATCTATATATACTTATGTACAGACAAAGGGAAAGAGGGTTAGAAAAATGGTGATGCCGATGAAGAGGCGTCGGGACGCTCGCTCAACCTATTATTTTTATTACTAATGACATTGTTTGGTTATTAATGATTTGATTATTATACATTTTATTAATATATAAAATATTTTGACATTTATAAATTCGCTTGGTACTTCGCTTTATGTCATTTTTTATTTTTTTTTTTTTTTTTTTTTTTTTCATCCTTATAAAATAAGTTTTATTTCTAAATAATGACTTGTTAATTTAAAATAGATTAAGTATATGGAAGAATTTTTTAATTAAAAGTTGTCAATTACTTTGCTTTGGAATTTGATAATTATCGTATGATAAACGAATAGATGAACCAGAAAATTAAAAAAAAAAAAATTTTAACCAATTATTTTCTTATAAAACCTCGCTACGATTAATTAATATTTCTTGGAGCGGTAGCGTTTTAATATATTGTAAGATTGTCATAAACTTATTAAAAATTAAAAATAAAATAAATGAACTAATTTTAATTTTTATTGATGATTATCAAATCATGGTGATCTAATGAAATAAAGAAATTCTGTTTAAATGATAGATACATGAGACGGATCCTCTGCCAAAGACTATATGCGTTCAATGTCTGGGTAAACTTGAATTCGTTTGTGACTTTCAAGAGGAATGTCTACGTACCCAACAGCTGTTACGCGATCAGTATGATGTACCTTCTACTATACAAGACATCGTAAGTTTATTTTTTTGTTAAATAATATCAAATGCTCTGCCGCTCTCTATTGTATTTGAATAATTAATCGTAGCTTAATAGATTTTTCTTTATTTAATTAAAAATTTTCGACTTACATTATTAAAAAGTAATATCAACCATTTATCCTAAATTAAATAAAGAAAAATCTATAACAAGGTTTTATTTTACACTGGTACATCTAATTCGTTTTACTGCAGGAGGAAAAAATAACGGTGGAAAATCTAAATATAGCAGAGTCAATAGTGATCCCAGAACCACCTAGTACGTCGACCAACAATATCAATACTGACAAAAACCATAATTCAACAGCAGACATAGAAAATGTTGATCCAACGCGGGAAGAAAATTTTAAAGATGTTATTGAGCCAACTGAAATTACAACAAAACCGAAAAGAACAACACGAACTTCACCGCAAACACGGTCTAAAAATAGCGATAAAGATAGTCATACGAATGAAGATGTTGTCGATGAAATACCTAATCGAAGATGGTTAAGGAGCCGTAATATAACTGAATCTCGAATAAAAACAAGAAAAAAGTCGAAATCAAAAAATATCTCACTGAAAAAAGTTTCTTCGAGGACAAAGTCAACCTTAAAAGAAGGAGTATCAATAGTAACTCGATTACGAAGTCAAAATCAAAATCAGAACCGAGTTAATTCAAACTCTGAGGCTATTAGTGAAAAAACGAGTAATAATTCCAGTGCTTCAAAAACTCAAGAAAAAGTTACTGATGAAAATGGAATGATCCAGATACCAACTTCAGCATTAAATAAAGTTTTAACTGCTGTATCATCTTCGCCAGAAGTTGAAGTTTCTGTTAAAGAATCAAGCAATCGTAATGGTGATATCGAAGATATTAGTTTTACGTTAGAATTGAGAAAAAAACAAGAAACAGAGTCAACTGTTACTGTATTAGCTCGTGTTTTTCCCGATCAAGGTTCATGTCTTGTAGGGTCGGAAATAATTAATCTATTGGAAGATGAAAATAATTCCGAGTTAAGTCAAATTATAAATTCAATTGTGAAAGGTAAAAATAGTAAAGATTTACCCTCTACGAGAACAGCTGAATTAGAGGAATTGGAAAAACGATTGTCTAGTATCAGTGACAGTGGAGGTGGCGGTATTATATCATCGAGAAATCCTGAAGAGCTTTTTCGCATTGATGGTGAAGAAATTCGCGTTGATGACAACGTTGAAAGTACCACGGTTGACGGTCAATCTGGATATTCGTGTAAATTATGTCGTAAATTTTATGAACGCCGGGATAAATGCACTGTTCATGTAAAAACACACCTTGGTATAAAACAATATGCTTGTACACTGTGCGTTGCTAAATTTGTATGTAAATCAGATGTTATGAAACATATAAGATGTTCACATACAAATCCACGACCTATGCAGTGTCCTAAATGCCCAAAACGTTTTAGATCAAAGTTCGATTTGACTGAGCATGATAATGTTCATAAAGGCATTAAGCCATACCAATGTTCCGATTGTGGACAGAGTTATCATCATAAAGTGTCCTTACAAATGCACGTTAAATCACATCTTCCACCGCAAAATTTAGCTTGTGAATATTGCGGTAAAGTATTTCCATTCCGTACACGTTTGCTAAGTCATATTGGTAGTGTACATTTGAAGAATAGACGTAATTTTCGATGTCGTTTTTGTTATAATCTTTACTCAAGTTTAGCTGTCTTAAATGATCATATTAAAACACGACATGCAACAACTTATACATGTGAAATTTGTTCTAAAACATTTAAAGTTGCGTCCAAGTATAAAGCACATGTATTACAACATTCAAATCCAAAACCATTTGTCTGCAATGTTTGTAATAATCGTTATGCATCAAAAGCATTTTTAAATGAACATCTGCTAAAACATGAGGGATTAAGGAAGCATATATGTCAAAAGTGTGGAGCTAGCTTTGCTCAAGCCAGTCATCTAGCTGCACATCGTCATGTACACGGTGAAAAAACCCATGCTTGTCCTGAATGTGGTCGAAAATTTAATAGACGTGATAATATGAAAGTACATAGGAAAAGACACTTTGCTGAATCTGGAAGAATTGTTACGACTGATAATAAAAATCAAACGGGAATAAGCGATAAATCAACGGCCTCGCCAGCTTCAGTTGACACTGATTCTAACGAAAAATAATAATGTCTTATTTATTATTATTATTATTTTTTTTTTTTTTTTTTTTTTTTTATTATATATATATATATTACTATAAGAAATTTATACATAAAAAATATATATTTTTTTAATCTTCCTGGTTAGTAATTTAAGCTCTATTTTATACAGACTTTAGGAAGATTGAATTAATAAATGATTGTGCAGTAGTTAAATGCTCAATTATCAGTTATAATTAATCACGTTTCGTAGTGTCTTCCAAAATTATTCAAATACCTTTTTGACATCTAGAAATCTAATATTTTGTATACATTTTCTGGTAAAAAAGTTTTTTATATAAAACAATATAAAATAATAGTTATAATGTGAAACACAAAATAAAAATTGTATTTAACTTTATATATTTTTATGACAAATAATAAAATGGATAAGGTTGTTGGTTTTTACAAGACGTATGTGTCTGATATATATATATATCTATGAAAAAACAAAATACCTATTTGTTATTAATTGTGTGATAACATTGATAAATTGTGCCTTTGTAATTGTCATTAAAATTAAACGAATAGATTCAATAAAGAAAATAAAAAACATATATTTAAAAAAAAAAAAATAAATAAAATGTATTTTCCACCGTCCGTGGTCTTGAGACTGACGACATTCAAGTAAAGCAATATTTTTTACATTCGTATGTTCGAATATTTGTAATAAAATAAATCTTGTACCATTGTATAATTATCAAGTATTTAGATTTGTAAGTTAATTTTCCAATTTAACTTGATAATTATTAACGCTGAATATATTACTAAAGTTATGTAGCGCTAATTTTTTTATTATTATTCTACATACATACTATAAACATGTATAAATATTGAAAAAAATATGCTCATTCACCAATTCCATTATTTACGTTAAATAATAAAAATTATTATTCTTGTATAGTCCTTATAGTTTCAATCGTTTCTTCTCCTCCATGTATTTATAACTTTTTGCATGATTGTATTATTGTATTTTTATTTTATTCTATAATAATAAAAAAACTTATATAGTTTCTTATATTTCGGATGAAATATTTTTAAAATAAAACTTAAAATTTTTATCATTTTAATTTTATTCTTTCCCTTTGTCGAAATACTTAATATTTACTTATATATTAATATTTAAGAGTGTTAAATTTTTTTTAAATATTTCAGATAGAAGAAAATGATGGCTTATCTCAGGTTATTTGCATACAATGTTTAGGAAATCTTGACACTTTATGTGATTTTTATGAAAAACCTCATGCAATTCAACATGACTTAAACAAAAAGGTAAATTATACTTATTTAATTATAATCATTTTTTTTTTTTAAATTATTAACTCAAACAATTAATGATTTATAGGAAGGACAAGGAAATGATAATGATAATTGTTCTGAAGATTCTGAATCACCTGATGAAAATAAAGAAAATGAGCTTCCTCCAGATTCTAAATCACCTCCAACTGTTCTAGAAAAAAAAGTTACTTTAAACTGTAAATCATCAATATCTCCATCAGAACTCGAGTCAACTTCAAATTCAACTAACTTACCTTCAACTTCAACTTCAACTCACCCACCAACAGAAGTCATAAGTCGAGTTTTAGCAGATATTACAGATCAACATCAACAACGTCCAAGATCTAATCTTTGTAAAGAATTGTTCCCTTCAGCTTCAAGAGGTATTAAAAGGCGGCGTGAATCTTCAGACCCACCAGAATAATTACTATTAAGGCATTCTCCGATGTTCCACTCAATAAGACAATTTTAAAATAATCCCATGTAAATATCATATATGTTATAAACATTTTATTACTTGTCATGGTAGATATATAACAATGAATTTAGTTGTCACAATTATATGAAAATTAAATGATAATTAAAAAAGTTTCTGCAGCTGATATTTTTGTTCTTGAAATTAATAGTTAAAAAATAGTCTTATGTGGAAAGAACGATTTAAATTATCATAAGAAATGTTATTTGGAATTTTTTTACTTTTTCCCATTAACGGGATTTTTTTTTTTTTTTTTTTTTTTTTTTTTTTTTATAAATAATTGAAATCTAATTATTTTAATAAAAATTTTTGATTATTATATAACGTTGAATATCAATTTCTCTGATTCTAAAATAATTTTCAATATATCACTGTTATGTTTATTTTAAAAAATAAATGACATCTGATCATTTTTTGCTTTTGTTAAATAAATAAATTACTAAAAAATATCTTTTAAAGATTACATAATTTTTTTTTTTTTTTTTTTTAGTTTCTACAAGTGAAATTAAAAAAATTTGTTTTTATAATAATTTACCTTTTCAAGTTAATAAAAATCTAAAAATGATCAGATGTTTGTTAATTTTAATTTCAGTATCAAATTGTGATGTAATATGTTTCTTTATTAATTAAAATCTGTCTTCAATAAGTTCAAGTATATATTATATTATATTCAAATAATAGAAATTAGTGATTTTAAGAGAATCAAAATTAACCGCCAATCAACACCTCGATGAAAACTGGCTGCACACTCATGAATATTACAGTAGAGGACTCTACGCTCCATAGTCAATTGTCTCCTTAGACTCCTTAGATCCTTGGTGTAAAAAAAAAATAATATCAATCAAACATAACCTTAAATTACCTCAATCGTTAAACACGGTTCACGAATTTTATTTTAACAAATTAATTGTTAAAAAACAAAAAATGGCCAGTACATCGGCGACTGATCAGTCAACGATCGCTCAAAAAACATGGGAAATGTCAAATAACGTTGAAATGATCAGTACTATGGACGAAATATATCGTTACGATCGTCAAGAACAACAAGACATTTTAATTGCCAAACCTTGGGACAAAGAGTAAGTAACTTAATTATTTTTTATGTTTTTACTTAAGCAATAATATTTTTTTAATGACATTAAAGTTATCAGTCCCTTGACCATTTTTTAAGTTTTTTTTTTTTTAACAAACAAATTTGTTCCGAAAAAATATTAAAAAATTTTTTTAATTTCAATTGTTATTAAATATCTTCTAAATTAATTTTAATTTTTTTTTTACAGCCCACATTTTTTCAAAGATATCAAGATATCAGCATTGGCTTTATTAAAAATGGTAATGCATGCACGATCAGGAGGAACACTCGAAGTTATGGGTCTTCTTTTAGGAAAAGTAACAGCAAATACGATGATAGTATTTTTTTTTTTTTTTTTTTTTTTTTTTTTTTTTTTTTTTATTATATATATAATTAAAATTAAAATTAAAAAAATACTTTTCTATGTTACATAAAAAATAAATATAACATTCAATTAATTTAATAAAAATAAAATATCTTGTAATGGAGAATAAAAATACGTTTTATTTTTACACCTTGATTCACTAAAAATTATATACAGCATTAATTAATTTTAACATGAAATTGTTCATAAATGAAATTTATGATCATTTATGTTTTACTTATATTCTAATTATTTTGCATTTTTATTTATAAAATTAAGATAATATTAAGAACATGTAGGCAGAGCTCATACCTTTCCAAAAAGGAAGATTATTTGACAGAGCTGAAGGGCTGTGTCACAGACTTTAAAAGCAAGGCCACTCAGATACATACCCACCTGATCTTTAAAACGTAATTATAATTTTTTAAATTTTTAGTTTTAATACGCATTTACCACGTCCACCTCATGCCAAAATAAAGGACGGAACTACAATTGATACTGATAATTTTCATAAAATATTATTAAACAATAATAATAAAAATAATAGCAACAATAAAATCTACAAAGACTTGGAAAAAAAAAAAAAAAAAAAATTAATACGATAGCGACGCTTTTTTTTTTCCATTAAAGTATAAAAGTTAAACACTGGTATGAATTTAATTTTTGTTGTTTTTCATACAACTAATGACTATTTCGTCAGTAATAAAATAATAAAAAATAAATCCAATTTTAAGTACAGAAATACCTGAATTTCATTTAAACATATATCATAGTGGTAAAACTTTGTAAATTTATTTTTTTAGGCAGGCGTATATACAATTTTGTCATTAGTTGTATGTTGTCACTGAACTCCCATCAACGGAAAATTATTTACTTCTGTTTGCTCTAATACTGGACCCGATGGTCCGGTATAAGAAATCCGTAAGCGCATTCGTAAAACTCCCTAAAAAATAAATAAAATATTAAGTACGTATAATAAAATAGCTAATAAGTATTTGTTACTTACATTATTTAGACTCGATACTTTAAGGACTTGAGTGACTTGTCCAGAAGGTGCGATCACTGTACCAGACGGTGAAAGCATTTGCAACTGGAATGCCTGTTGAATAAAAAAATAAAATTCAGATTTATTGATATAGATTAATGTTAATGAACATTATTATTGAAAAAGATAAATATACAAACCCTAGGAACTGCTGCTGAAAATACAAAGTCTGTAAGTGGTATTATATTAGAATTTACAGCAGTCATACTGATAACAAGTAGATCAGGCAAATCGTCAGGACGCTCAACTGTAAATGTGATCTTTAAGCCATTGTTATCAAAAATAACCATCGTTTGAGCGTCATTTTGAGCAGTCGAATTGAGAAGTCCATCAACCATAAAGTTTGTTGAAGGGCCGAAAGATTGTGATTGTGATGGTGATTGAATTTGACCGATTACTGATGCAGGAGAAGCAGGTGTAGTGCTTAGATCAAGACCACCAAGAAGATCCAAAAGATTGTTGTTGGTAACCGGAGTGATTGCTGGTAATGCTGTGGTAGTTGGAGAAGAAATAGACGGTATGCCCAAGTCTGATGATCCAAGAAGATCCAAAAGAGCACTTGAATCAGTGCTTGCTGAAACTTGTTCAACGGGTGGTTTCTCTTCTTCCACCTCTTGATCTCCATTAGCTATACCGATAATCCCATTTGCTTGAGGTTTAGCTGTTTCCATAGGTGGCATTCGTTCCAGTAATGCTGGTCTCAGATGATCATACTTGCGGAAAAGTTGTGAAAATTCAATACCTCGTTGTTGTAGTTCGATATGAAGATTGCTGCCGAATGTATCAATTATCTGACGGATTTTTCTGTAAAATCGAGGAGGTCTACTGAAACATTTAACTTCCAAAATCACGAATGAAATATCTAGGACGGAAGAAAGGAAAGGACAAGAAAGGACATGGGCGTAATGTGTTTATGAAGCTAATTTAATTAATTTTACTCACTCATTTCCACATTGAAATCTCGTACTTAATTTTGTTAATGACAAAAGTGTATATTGCTTAGTTATGACTGTATTTTGTGGACTCCAAAGTAACCTCTGGTATACATCAATGACATCATCTTCAGTTAACTAAATTGATAAAAAATAATTTAGTTTTTCTCCTGATAAGTAAAACAGTAGTAAGAATATTCATCAATTTTTGGACTAGTCTATCTAATAGTTCTTATCTATTATTATATTTTAATAATGCTACTTTATTTTTTAATAATCATATTTTGTCATGATTTTTATTTGATGGATGACAAATCTTAAAAATTAATCTTTATTTATTAAAGATTTATTGTTTATTTATGAAAAATTAAAAGATCAATATTTAGTGCCAGAGTAGAAAAAATAATAATTAGATGAATATTTAAAATAATAAATTAATATAAAAAAAAAATAATTACATTAACAGGAGCTTCAACATCTTCGGCAGGCTGTGCATAAAGTAAAAGATCTCCATATTCACCAATACACCATGTAGCAACTTGAGCCAACGGTTGTTTATCAAAAGTGTCTTTCTCAAGTGCATGCCAAAGAGCATTTACTGCATAAGCCTGTTGCGTTTGAGTTTCTGAGATTAGTTGAATTGTGCAGGCGACGACATCGTCTCTTACATAATTACCAGCAGCCACAAGTACTTTGAACAATGTTTCAAGATGCCAACGTTTATTCGGAGCATATCGCTCAGCAGACATAACAATATTACTGCTACATTGAGCTTTAAATTCAGGATCAGCACGTTCAAGAAACAGAAGAAGTTCTTTCATCATATTTTTAATATTACTTGTATTCACCAGAGCAAAACTCAATTCCATAGCACGCCTTCTTATTGACACATCAGGATCTTTAAGACACTCAAGAATTGTTGACCGGTGCCTTTGCACTGCACTTGTATCAACATAAACTGTTTTAAGAAGAGTATTCAAAGCAACATAACGGATGTTCTTGTCGTTGTTGAGTAGAAATCTTCCAAGTATGTTGACTGCTAATACTCTCAATCCACTCTCTGATTTAATATCCATAATAGATAACACTGTTTCGTATAATATTGTATTACCGACATTTTTACTTGTTTCTGTATTAGTAGCTACTTGAGCTAATATATCATTCATAGCTTCTGAAGTTTCGACATCATTATGACCAAGGATTCGCAATAATCGAAGAATTTTAACTTGAAGGAAAGGATCTGACACACCGGAAACATCATGCTCTGGCGAGTATCCCGCGAGGATTAGGTTCTTGAGAATTCTCACAAGATTCGGAACAATCTGAAATAATTCATTTCATTAATTTAAATGGTCACAAATATTATATTTTCATTTTAATCAAGCGACAGAGAAAAAATAAAGAGAAAGATATAAAAATTTAATTTCACCAAGAAATAATGCATATACCTGCAGAAAAACATCATTTATAAAATATGAAAAATAATTAATGATTAACTCTTAAATTAATTTTATCGTTAAATTCAAGACAATCCTTTTTACAATTTAAATGTAATAAAATTTAATACGAAAATCTTTTGCATTATTAATAATAAAGGAAGAGTTAAAGCATTATATTGTCGAAAATTTTAAATAAATTAATTAATCAATTGTCACGTGATCAATTAATTTTCACGTTTTTTCAAATTAACATTTCAATATAAAGCAATGATTAACTTAAGAAAGGTCTTTATGAATGTTTATCGGCATTACAATATGTAGTTACTTATGTTTTATGTTAATCAATTCATCTGAATGCACACTATTATAAAATGTTTGTATTTTTCGAATAACCTCGAAAGTACCTCGTTCTAATTAAAAAATAGAGTTTCTGTCCTAATTTGAGCTCTTTATATTAATTTTAAGAATCTGCCAGATAGCGTTTATGATGTTCAGGGTTAATTTTTCTAATCAATTGCAGCCCTTCCCTTTTCAGCATACTGTTATTTTTTTTTTAATTAAATTACAATCCAATCAGATTTCTATGAGACCAGATATTACCCAATAAGAAAAGAACAAAGAGATACAGTTCGAGCATATATAAAAACTTATTCAACGTTTCCCAATTCTTATAATTACAGTAAAGTTTACAATTTTTTTCGTTCTTTAACTTTGACTCTCTATTGTATTTCCACAATTTTCCACTAAAAAATAGTGGAGGGCCTCGCGGCACCTTAAAATCAAAGTTAAAGAGACTCTACTGTAATATTAAAAGCTCAAAATTGGATAAAATTTTTATTTTTACACGAAAAAAAAAAAAAAAAAACGATTTTCAATCTACATGTATATTAAAGAATAAATATGTTAATGAAGAAAAAACATTTAATAATCATGCATTATTTAAATAGAGCACATTTAACAGATAAATATTCTTTACCTCGCGGTGGCCGCATTCCTAAACAAGATAAAAAAAAAAAACCAGTTTTTTATATATTATGAAATTCGGTGAGATTCGCAAATACGTGCAGGAACTAAATTTAAGCTATTTTTGCCACAATATAACCCATTTTATGAATAATAATACAATATTAATCTATGAATTTACCTTTTTAAAATGATTCAACGTATCAATGCTGTTCTCACACATTTCTGTGATAAGAGTAACTCCGGTAATAAGAACTCCATGATTTTTTTCCGTCAATAAACTTCTTGTTGCTGGTAAAAACATCTCCATTAGCTCTGGAACGCGTCGAATTATTCTAAATGCGCATAGTGCAGCTTTTTTTCTAATATATGCATTTGGTGATTTCATTAATCGTTCAACTTCAGCGGCAAGATCTCGTGCCATACCAGGTGATGCAATAGCGCCCAATGTACATAGAGCTAAACCAATAACAAACTGCGTTGTGCTATTTAAGTCGCTGTTTAAATAAAATAAAATATTTTTATTAGTATATTGTAATTAATATCAATAAATAATAAATTGTCCATTAAATGATAAATTTACTTTTTTAGACAATTGGTAATAAGAAGATGGACATCTTGTCTTTCATCAAGTAGCAACATTGCACCCAAGTAACCAATACGTTTATCGGTAAATCTCGTCGATGCAATAAGTTTGAGACATTCTAGTTGACCAAAATGAGCAGGATAACTTTAATAAAAAATGAATAAGTTAAATTAATTTTTCAATTTTAAATAAAAATATACCTTTAAGTAAATAGAGTAAACTTACCCTAACATATGGATGTAAAGAAGTTTTGCAATATTTCTACATCTCCAAACACTGTCTTCTTCACGAAATGTTGATCTTATGTATGCACACTCCTTATTAACCACCGTGCGTTCTTCAGCAGCTGTACGAGCAGCCCTTATTTGTCTGATTAAATCCCGTAATCTCGTTGGTGCTGGCATTCTCACTGTTGATACTTTTAAATTAACAAGTACGTTATCATAGTGCTGTGTCAGTTAGCTTGGATAGTGATGCGTTAAATTAAATAAAGCGGTATATAATAAACTAAAAAATTTAATTTTAAATACAAAATTCTAACTCTGCCCATATACTTTGTATTTATAATAATATTTATAAATAAAATAATAATTTACACGTATAAGGGGTTTGTTTAATCGTAGTTTATAAATATGCAAGCAGGAAGAGGAAAAATAGAAGGAGTAATAATAAAAAATAAAAACCAAATCGACGTAATGAAATTAACACCTACCTCTTTCAACAGCTTCATTAAACGCCTGTTTTATGGAAGCCATATTAAATGCCGGGTTAAATCTGTAATTATAGCTTTAGTAATTACATGCTCACAAACCTTATACCTATTTTTATGAATACAATTAAATAATTTATAAATCTATGTAATGCAGTGAATATCTATTTATTATTTGAGTTAGTCAATTATTATTATTATTATTATTATTATTATTATTATTATTATTATTAATACTTTTTTAACTTTTATTTATGGATTAATTAATAATTGTCTTAATTGATCAGTATTTTAATATCATTTAAAAGAATTACCCATGTTCTGAAGCATTCATGGTTGTAGAAACAACTTGTAGAAAAATCTTGAAATGTATAAACCAAATTGTAATATACTTAATAAAACTCGACAAACAGTTCCTGTACTGGCTTTATCCTGTATAGATTATATATGACACACAAAGTTAAAAACCCACAGCACACAAGAGGTTACAGACTCCAATTTAAAATAATTATTTAAAGCTGACAAGATATCAACCAAGTTATCTAGATTAACGATTTGTATTCAAATAAATATTTATTGAATGATTTAATTGCAATAAAATACAACAGACGTTACATAAAGATCGTTATTACCAGGGTTAGATGTCAGATAATTTATTGTCATTATCAACTGGACTTTAAATAATTATTTGGAGTCTGAAAAGACTTCAGGAAATAAATATAAATAATTTATAAAAGCCAAAATATTTATTGTTCACCTCAATACCGAATCTTCAATAAAATGAGAAATAATTATTTATCTGGAAGCTAACAAGTGCCACCTCATCCATGGGTTGGTTCCGTGATCCTCCAATCTTCAATAAACTTTTTTATGACAGTAACAATTGTTATATAGAAAGAATTATGCTCATATATGGTATGTCAAGATAATTTATTGAAATTTATTCCAGGGCCTACCTAGATCCCAACATTCAATGTGATGGGACAGATATTATTTTTTTAGTAACTTTAAAAACCATAATTATAATTCACACTATCAACTTTTATAGTATTATTATTATAAGTATGTTAGAGAGAAAACACCTACATCAGTAGTCTTGTCTTTCAGTCTACCTATATATTTTCTTGACTATTTACTCTACCAAGATGGCCGATATCATTTTTACGTTGTCTTGTTTTCTAATTCTTATCTGTTTATTTATTTACTTTTTTGATTTTATAAGTAAACTTTAATATTATAATTAATAGCTTAATACTTAAAGATACTTTCAAGTATTATAAATTAATTCATAGTATAAAAAATAAATATATACGGTTAAAAAATACGTGGCATGTAATAAACGTTTTTTTTTTCTTGTACTAAAAGTTAGTTTGAGTTGAGCAGTTGGTGGTATTGGGAGCGGTGAAAATTGAAATACTTTTTTTTTTACTAATTTGAATAAAATAGCTAGTTAAATTAAATAAAATTTAAACTTTGATGCTTGTTTAGTAATTTTTTTAAATGATTGATTTATTTATTTATTTATTTATTTATTTATTTATGACATTTTATTTATAAACAGCACTGCATTAGCATAGTAGTTATCAAATTAACAAATATTTAGTTAAAATTTACCTTCTATTTAATTCCGGTGGGAGAACACTCCAATCCTCCGTCTCATAGTATCCCCACATAATACGCAATTACTTTAATGTATAAAAAAATTAAAAAAGAACAAATATTTACTTTTTGTAAAAAAATGCTTATTTACATTAATTAAAAAAAAAAAAAAATCTTATTAAATAATTTGATAATTTTCACTGAATAGGTCCCTCTGTAACGTACAATTTAAGAGACTCAAATGTTAAGGTGCTGGGCTGCTTATCTCTTATCGCATTTTATGCATTGATATCGTCAACTTACGATACCTTTATTTGAGTTTTGTGATCACCTGGAATGACTATTATTCTATTTATAAAAAGATAAATAATAGATTACACCAATTATTTGACAATTTTTTATATAAATTATATATTTGATACATTTAGATGCCAAATATTTCCATGATTTTTATGCATTAATTAAAAAAAAAAATATATATATATATATATATATATATATATATACTTCAAATATTAAAAAAAACTAAATTTTATCTTAAATATAAAACTTTGATTTAAGATAAATCGTTGTCGTCGTGATTACGAGGCGGACGAACATCACTGTTTCTTTTTATACAGTCAACAAGCCAATGAATTCCTTCGTTAACTCCATCGCTAGAAAAAATTTTGTTAAATATATTAATTTTAATCACTTATAAATATTTATACTTATTGATTTTTTGCTAGTTATGTAATTATTATCTGTAGTAATGCTTTGAAAAATAATTAGTACAAATTAACACAAGAATTTATTTGTTTTTTTATTAAATATTTGAATTGTCGATTTTAAAAATCTGATTAGATTGAAACAATCGATGATATCAATTTTTAGGTGATAGAATTAAATACAAAATAAATTTTCGAAAAATTAAAAATAAAAATACAGATTTTTTTTTTGCTTAAATCCTTAAGAACATATAATAACAAATGTATGTTTTGTTATAAAATATTGGAGCATGGAAAAATTTGAGAAATAATTTCTTTGAAATAAACATTTTTTTGTCCTTTTAGACTTAGAAGAAATTTAAAAAATTACTTTCAGAAAAAAAAAATAAATTTTTTGGCCTCAGGTTTGAAAATTTTAAATTCTTAAGCTATAAGAAAGTGTTATTTGAAATAAATAATTGGCTTTAAGAAATTTTTAAATGTGTAAAAAGTTCTCTTTCTTAAATTTTCAAATTAATCATCTAAGCATATAATTTTAATAAATTAAGTTATTTCACAAAGATGGTCAATTAACAAATAATTAAATTTATCCTTTTTTAACCTGTCTAGTTATAAATTAATTCGAAAATTTTTATTCGACTTACCCTTTGAGTGCTGATACTGGCATAACCATACAGTCTCGCCGGCCGATTAAATGAGCATTTTTATTAAATATTGGTTTTACTTCACGTATTCCCATTGAATCAAGTATGTCTTGTTTGTTTGCTAATACTAGAAGTGGTACTCCTGTTAAGTGTTCTGAAGATATCACTCGATCTATAAAAAAGTTATCTATTAGCTCTAACTGAATCTATCGAATTAGGTCTGTACTAAATAAAATATAAAATTATATTTATGAATCAAGCACAGTTAATTTATTTTAAGTAATAAATAAAAGTTACCAAAAGTTTCTTTGGAGTCAGGAATGCGCTCTCTATCTGAAGAGTCCACAATATAAATTACTGCATGTGATTCTGCATAATACTAATAAAAAGAAAACATATACTATAAATAAATAATGTAATCGATAATTAAAATAAAAACAGTAGACATGAGATATTTTAAAAATTTTGAATTAAGAAATAATTAATGTCTACAATTTTCTGTATCATTATAATAATTAAATTTATCAAAAAATAAATAATACTTTATCCCACAATGATTGTAACTCTTCTTGTCCACCAAGATCCCAAAAATTAAGGCTTACACCGTCTATATCTATTTTTCCAATATTGAGTCCTACAGTTGTTGTTATTTTATTAGGATTCATTCCCTTGTAATTTTTTGTAAATTTTGTTTTTGCCGCTTCTAGGTAAGTCTTAAACAAACAACAGACAATATATTAATAATAGAATTGATAATAAACATAACCTAATGATTGTTAAACAAACTTACTGTTTTTCCAGCATTATCAAGTCCCAAAATTAATATAAAATATTCATCTTTTTGTATAAGATATTTATACAAGCCATTTAATAATGTATACATCTTTTCATTTAATTATATTAATCGAATAACTTGTACGTCATCTTATCATTTTAATTTTTATTTCTCTTTTTTTTAAAAATTATTATAAATACACACACGTACACTGTTTGGATATTTCTACAATGTGATTACAACAACAACAAACAATAATTCATGTTTCGACTATCGATTACTCGTATTCAACAGAAAGCCACCGTCGCAAATATTTGACGTCATATGGTAGATATATCGAGTCATCGATATGTTTTCTAGTTCTATCTATCAGTTTGAGGTGTCTGAGATTCCGAAATTTTTTCAGTACTTGGTCAGCACTAATCATCACTCGTGCGGTTATTGTCATCACAGGTGTGTATTTAAATAACAAAATTAATAAAATGATAATAAAAATAAATGATATAAAAATACTGTCAGAATATTTAATTTTGATTGTTATTATTTTTTAACAGCAACTTATATTTCTACAGAATAGTGACGATAACCATGACCTTGAAATAAATAATTATTTTATAGTTTTATTGAACAATAAAAATATTTTTCATTATTTAAAAAATAAAAATGTGTACATCATTGTCAGTACTTAGTCAAACAAGTTTTAATACTAGTATTTTGAAACTTGGAAACAAGTTAAAATGTTGTCAAACACTTGGACTCCTGGTTATTAAACTCGACAATACAACTAGGAGGCTGTATGTTAAAAATATACCAGAAAAATTATCACCGGCAAACTGCAGTTTATCAGCGTCATCTTTCAACTATCATCAAAGATTATCATACGGAACAACAGCGATAGTGTCCGGAGTTCCGGGTGCTCTTTCAAAACAGCAAGCTAAAGATTTAGCCGTACGACTTACATCTGAGGAGAGAGAAGTTTTAATAGCAGCTCTGAAAGAATGCCAATCAAATTCTGTTAGAGCTGAGTATGAAGGTAAGAGTTATTATTTATTTATAAAAATAGAATACATTTGTTAAATTAATTAATTGTCAATTTCAATATTGAAAAAATTTATTCTATTGAAATTTACTGTTATTTTTTTTTAGATTTTTCAAGCTTTCATTGCAAATATATACGTAGTGAAATATAATCAATTATATTTATAGGAGCATTATTTTTATAGGTAATTCAATTTATGAACTTTTAAATAAATTAAAGATTTTATTTATAGTTAAATAAATTTATTAATATAAAAATTTAATAATTTTTACATTCAGTAAAATTTATAAAATTTAATTACCTATTTGAGTACTTAACGAATTAATTCATGTATTATGTATATTACTAGGAAAGATACTTGTAATTAAAGCCTTTAATATTTTTCCAATATATATTAATTAACTAATGATCCTGATTTTTAAAATAATAGCGACAATACTTAGTATTATGGAATTTTATGTCACTATTTTATAAAGTTAATAATTATTGATGACTCAACAGTGTCAACAATAGTGATGATAATCAAATATAGAGAATGCCTTTTACAATAGTGATCCTACAGGTCAATTGGCTGCATTTCGATGGAGAAGTAAATTTGGGCGGCCAACTGGTGTGCCAAGTCTGGGTGAAGTCGATCCAACTGGAAGTTATTGTGCTGTACCTGATGATTGGCTATTGAGGAAGTATGGTACGAAGAATGTCCCGATAAATTAAAAAAAAATGTGTGCATTTGAAAGTACACATGTATAATGTCCCTTTCAGCTTAAAGTGGAGGCAGCGAGGGTGGCGGATTGATTGATTGATTGATTTATTTATTCATTTTTTAAACAAATAATATATGTAATGCTTAATAATTGACTAACAGAATATGTAGAATGATTATTGATTATTGGTACTAACAAATAATAATTGTGCTTTAAGTGGATCCATGCAGCGAACAGCGTAAGCTCGCATGCGAAAATGTATCAGTGTAATATAAAATAATTTATGTGCAACATTTATTATTTTAATTTATGTTGTTTTATTTATTTTTTATTGATCATTGAGCGATAGATATAACACATGACAGCTACTGTATATGTATAGTCATATCACCTCAGCTTGTCAATTATTAATTTAGTTTATTTACGTCTATTGTCTCTGCCTTCCACCCAAAGCTCTATTGGGCACTTGCGCATCCAATTGTCTAACATACCTGTACAAAAAAAAAATATAAATCTTACTGACACAGGCTATCTCCTTTCTGCTTTATCTTTCACACGGACAATCTATTCTGTAAGTTCGTCTAAAATATCAACTTGACATTTTAAACACTGAGTATGGCTTTTAAATTTTTTATTTTATTCTGCACTATTTATTTATTTATTTATTTAGTTGAATATTTCATCTATTATTTGCAATTTCGATTTATTCAAATCAATATTCTTGTCTCTTAAAGTTTATGCAATATTATAAAAATTTTCAACTTATTAGATAATTCAAAATAAAATAATTTCAATATTTGATCATTCAATTTTTATTGTAAATTTTATGCAAATCGAAATTACAAAGTTATATGACTATATTTTATTAGTAAAAAACTTATTTGATTATTTAATCTCACTTAAAGTTAATCTCTTGCAGCGGAAACAGTCCCACAACCGACACGTCGTGATTTAATGCGAGGTAAAAATAAATTATACTTTAATAAATAAACTTATTTGATAAAATATTATATAATTTCAGTATCAATCGCAAATGCCATTCCTTTTATTGGATTTGGTTTCCTCGATAATTTTTTCATGATAATTGCGGCAAGTATTTTTTTATCTATTTATAAAAAAAAATCAAAATATAAAATAAATAAAATTATTTTATCGTGTTTTATCGTTACTTTATAGGGCGAGCATATTGAAGCGTATCTCGGCGCAATTATTTCAATATCAACAATGGCAGCAGCTGCACTCGGAAATACAATTTCAGATATATTAGGAATAGGATCAGCTACGTATGTTGAAAGGTTAGCTCAGAAAATAGGATTTAAACCTCCTAAACTCACACCTATTCAATTGGATTTACCACGCTCCAGAAGGGCTGCGAATATGGTTTGTAATTAATTTATATTTTTTTTACTACTAATTTTTTATGTATTTAGCTAAAAGTATTTTAATAATAACAAGTTACACTTTTTCAGGGTCGTGTAATTGGTGTAACAATTGGATGTATACTTGGAATGACTCCCCTATTTCTTCTTCATACTGAAACTAAAGAAGAAAAAGAAAAAGGAATAGTGTGATTTAATTAAACTATCATATTAGACAATCTTTTAAACTGTTTATAGATAATGCCATATTATGACAAATATTTTTTTTTCACTACTATATAATTTTAACTCGAAAATTGTCTATTGATTGGATCACATCTGCATCGATGCTTATTAATAATAATAACCAATGTAAATAATGTGTCGTTAGAAATCGAATCATTCAAAGTCTTCTCAACACTTTGTCGATGCAGTGATCGTTCTGAATTTTTTTATCTGACTTAATTATTAGATATAAATGATTTTTTTTTTTTTGTGATAGCTTAAAATTAGTGCAATAGAACGTCAAACCGAAAACTTATACAATTATTAATTATGAGGACCAAATTATATCTGAAAATTAATAATAATATTAATAATAACAATGATAACAACAACAATAATAATGATAATAATAATAATTATTTATTTTAAAAAATTACTGAATTAAAATCCAAGGATAGTAGAAAAAATACATATATTTTTTTACGTTTCTTCTGTAATCCACCCCTATTATTATTTTTTTTTTTTTTTTAAGTGTTTAAATATTCTTAATTATTATTTATCCCAATAAGAAAAATATATCCAGTTATAATACATTAGTATACGTTTAACAGTTATATCAAATTTTTCTGTAACTCCTGTTCGTCAGTCGATCAGAATTAGATATTAAAATTATAATATTAGTAATTTTATTAATAAGTAAAAATCGGTTAAGTATTACTGGTGGTAATCGAATCATATTGTCATTACGTAACCAAGATAATATAATATCCAGAGCTTTATTATGGATACTCAAAATAAACCCTTAGGGTATCTTTCCAATTTATTTCAACAATAATATTTTCCCATAAAATATGATCACGTAATAGAGATTGACTGTTTGTAATAAATGCTTCTGGGTTTTTTAATTTATCATTTTCAAATTTAAGTTGTGTTTTTGAAAACCAATTAATAATAGTAGACACCCATCCTATTTTATCAGGGCTTGTAGAAGTAGGAGTTTTGACAATGCAATTATTACATGAAACATTGCATTTTAAAAAATCATCAGGTAGCTCTGTCTCTTCAATTAATTCTGTTTCTGGTACAATTAGTTCTGATTCATTTAAAGTAGCAGGTTTACTGGACTGTCGAAGTGCTAAATAAGTTCCTGGGATATGACTGGTTATCAGTGCAGAACCAAAGAGAGTTATTAGTCCGATGGCATATGTTGCTACACAAACAGTCGATATATTGAAAATTGTATTTATTATTGCAGTAATTCGTATCGTATCCATTAGACAGATTATTTCAGTGTACGAAAACCAACCACGCTTTTTGGCCTCTTTGTAAGCCATCAATTCTTCTAGCTTACGTAATCGATTCCAAAATTCTTTGTCGTTGACATAAATCGACCAATTCTATAAATTTATAATTATCTATAAAACTATCAATTATTTGTGCCTATTTTAACCTTTCCGATCGTTCCACTGATAGTTTTCTAAGTTACTCTATTAATATTAAAAAAGGTTTTGTGAAATCAATATTCCACATTTTCAAACTCATCAAATTAACTGTTAACAATTATTACTATTATAAAATTATGAACATTCTATGAATGTTATCACATAATTAAAAATAATATATATAATTATGAATAATATAATTTAAATTGACCATCTCAATTGAAGTAATTAATGAAGTTTATAATGCTGCTAATCAATTGAACAATGGAAAAGGCTAACAAAAAAATTATTTCACTATTAAGAAAATTTTGAACCATAATCTTAAATTTTTCTTTGTTTGTTTTTAAAAACTTACAATTGCATCAAGAAATTCCATTTCTAAACGATTCATTTGCGCAAGTGTTAAGTCACCAGATTTAGCCCATTCTACGTTAAAAACTTCATCATCTTCACCGTCATCATTCAAAAATTTACTGGCCACCATCTGCAAAAAATTTATCATTATTATTATTATTAACTGAAGAACAATAATTTCTATCAAGTAAAATAATTATTTTTACCAAAGAAACAAGAAAGAGTTCAGCAGGTGCAGCTTTGTACAAATACTCAGGATTACAGTCTTTTAAACGCTCCAAATAAAGTAAAGCTAATACAAATGAACAGGGTGAGACACAAGCATTTCGAGAGATTCTGCTAGCTTCTTCAACGTCAAGACGCTCGAGACTGCATCCACTCTTTACTTCAGAAAACAATTCCGCGGCAAATTCTATACCAACGTAGCATTTAATTACAATTTAATAGTTGTTTTTTTTTTTTTGTTTACATGAAAAATTATCAAAATTAAAAAAAATCCGTGATTAATTCTTACCTGTAACTGGTAGACTTAAACGATCAGTCATCGGTAATTTTGAGTAATAAAGAGACTTGGTAATACGATTGAGGAATAGATTATGATCTCCCATTGTCTGTAAATAATAAATCAACTATTAGAATTAAATATAAGTTTATCGTTGAAAACAGAAACATATACATTTATATGTTAGGTTATAAAATTATGTGATTTTTCGTTACTGACCTTAAGCTTTCTAGACAATCTTTTCCCTCTTGATGTGTTTGACATATTATATTCTTTAAATTGTACTTTAGATACTTTTACCAAATAATCTAATAAGTTGCTTTTATAAATAAACAAACGATAATTTTTTAATAGTACTTTAAATACTTTACCAGTTATACAAAAATACGTAGTTAGAATGACCTTAAAAGTCAAATAAAAAATAGAAAAAAAAAAAAAAAAAAAAAAAAAAAAAGTTTTATTTGAATTATCAACAGACGGTAAGTTTTGTAAACAGTGCTCAGTGTGAGTTCCAAAGAATCGAGAAGGAACCGCAAATATGATAGACTTTTTCTAGAAATTTATTGCTACTAAATGAATTATTGTGTATTTATATTGAAATAAATAATAACAATATTAGTATGGTAAAAGTTTATGCTCTTCATTAAATATTTTTTCAACTTTTGATCCTAAAATTTGACTTTTTGGATTAAATAAAATCATATAAATAACAATTTATTATTATTATTATTATTATTATTATTATTATTATATGAGTTATATCTTTTAAATGTTTTTGGTTGTTTTAAATCAATAACAATCGGAGATTGAATCAATCAATCAAATTTATAGATTGCTATCAGAATCAGGGTAGTAAATTACCAATTTATCATTACTGTCTGATGACTCGTCGTTTTTTATTTTCAAATTCACTTGTTCACTTTGATTTTTTTTGCGACGTACTTGGTTGATCGTACGCCCAAGTGTCTTTTGAAGAACTTGCTGGGGTAGAAGTAACATTTGCGGACTCAGTTTTCGGTGGGATCGAAATTTCTTTAGTAGAACCAATCTCTAATTGATCACTCCTGCGCTTTTTAGCTGCAGGTTTATTATTGGTACTTTCGGAGCCAAGTTGAGTTTGTGATAAATTTTTGAAATTTCTGGCTGAATTCAAGATTTTTTCTTCGTACAATTTGGTCGCTAGTATCCACTGCAGCATAACTTTGTTAGAATAATCAGCACAAACGTTCTTATGAGGGTTGGGATGTGAATGATCTTTGCACTTAGATTCAGCCGACGTACTGATTTCTTGTGCAGGATCGTAACCGTATTCAGATAGACAAATAATGTTTTCGTGATTGAAGACGAATTTATCGAGCAAATACCGTTTCTTGTCAACTCCGCTTACGAAAATGTACTTCACTTTATATCTTTCAACAAGAGATCTTAATGCAATTTGTACATCATTTGGTGCATAATTACCGGCTTTCCATTTTATTCCGTAAGTATTGTAGAAGTGATAATCGTAATAATCTTCCATTGCTTTTTTTTTTGCCTGATAGTCAGGCGGTTTAATGACTAGTAATTTATGATATATTTTTACTCCTTGGTCATTAAACACATAAACACTGAATTCTTTAATAATTAAAGTAGTACGTCTCAAATTAAAATAACCATTGAAATTTATTACCGCGTGATTTCGATTTTTATCAACAATTTTTTTAACTGGCTCGGTTTTTTCAGATTTTGATTCTTTGCTTGTCGATGTTCTAGGGTAATAAGATATAGTTCGATCTGGCTTATTGCTATCACCATAATATTTTTTCAGCAGCAAATTACTCATGTATTGTACATTAACACGAGCGCAATAAAAACCTTGCTTTTTAATGTGATACGAACAACATGGACCCATTATTTCTAAACTGGCGTCGAAGTTGAATTTTTCCAATAATTCAACACGTACAGACTGATTTTTCATAAAACTAAACAAATCTTGGCATTGTTTTTTATTTCTGACAAAAACTACTTCACTGTTCAACAACATGATCAATATTTTTTCTTTAAGTTCTTCAATTGTATGTGTACTACGTTCTAATGGTATCCCATATTTTATTAAGTAGATGCTATAAATATCATCAATAAAATTTATATCCTTTAGGTGTTCGATTGGTGTCGCTGTTACTATCGCAGCACCCACTTGTTTTTTTTTAGAATTGTCTGGAAGATAAGATTCGCAGTATTCTTTTATGATGAAATCACCTTTGTAATAGTATCCACTGAAATCAATAATGATCGTCATTTTTTTTAATCTGACTGGTAGTCTAATATATAAGAAAAAATTATTTTTTTTTTATTAAATTTTATGATGAATCATTTTCATGCAGTTAGTTTTAAAATTTATTTAAGAGGTATAACATTCTCTTCTTACATTAGAAATCAAAGTCTATAGTTAAATCTTCTTCAGAATTGGCTAATTTAATAATAATTGGGAAATTTAAGAATTATAATTATTTACAAAGTAAAATAGCTAAAAAAATTAATGTTTTCAAATATTTGAATTCTTTACAAAATTTCAATTTTTTTTGTTTGAATTTTGTTCATACTGAAAAAAAAAAAATTTGATCGTTTTCACTCTAGTAGCGCTATATGACACGATGTCCTTTCTCTATTTCTCCTATAAATCTTTATTCTCTGTAGGTTATGTATATTTATTAGTATATATGAAAAGTAACATGTTTGATCACGCTGTAGACTTGTAAAAAGAAGATTGGGCGATTTATAATTTGAAATATAAACATTTTCTGTAAATTTATTTCAAATAATAATTAGCGTAATTATCCTATCTGACACTGAAAATAGTTGAAAGTTATTGGCTGTTTTATCAACAAAATTAAGGTATTAAAAATTACTCTACGTTAATATACCAGACATACCTATGAATTTAAATTAAAAGAAAATGTGAACCATTCTAACATTTGCATCTAAATTGAATATCAAAAGTAATGAATCATTTGATATAATCCGTTAAATGCTAAGAAAATTAATGTTAGAAATATAATTTGTCGATTAAAACTAAAATTATTTTTGTAAATTGCATTATTGTGTGTTTAGATAAACGACACGAGTATCTTGTAAAAAACTTAATGAATTGTAAATACCATTATATTGATTAATTATTAATTATGAAAAAAAGTTAATCGATTGCGGATGCAGGTGAATTCATTTTTCTTAATCTACAAATCATTTTTATTTATTTATTTATTGAAGAAATTCGGCCCTAGAACTGACGTTCCTTACGAGGCCGTAGAAATTTAATAGTATTACATAGTGGGGAAGTACTTTGAATACAAATCATGACTAAAAAATTAAATAATATATTTTTTAAAGTAAGTCAAAAAAAAAAAAAAATAGAAAATATTCCAAATAATGGTGTAATTAATCAGAATATTTCATTATTTTTTTGAAACTATGTTTATTGAGAATATAAATAAAATAGAAGTCTTAATGTCTACTTTCAGGAGCAAATTGGATAATCTAAATGAATAGTATCGGTGAATCTTGTAACGAATTAAAACAACAATATGATGTTTGTTTTCAAACATGGTTTTCTGATAAATTTCTGAAAGGCGACATGAATGACTCTATGTGTGCTCCACTCTTCAAAGTTTATCAATCATGTCTCAAGGTATTATTGTAATTTTTATTATTTATAGATTTTTATTGATCATTATTATGGAGTCGTGCAGTCAGTTGAAAAAACACTATGATGAATGCTTCAACACTTGGTTTTCCGAGAAATTTTTAAAAGGAGATACGGACGATTCGAGTTGCAGTTCTTTGCTACAAACTTACAAAGAATGCGTTCAGGCAACTTTTTTTTTTTTATTTTTTTTTTTTTTTTTTAATACAAATAAATTCACTTCTATTTAAATAACGAGCAATTAGTAAAATATTTTTATTAATACTTATTTTTTTTTTTTTTACAGAAGGCTATAAAAGATAATAAAATTGAAATAAAAGACATTGAAGTGAACCATTTGGGAACAGACAACGAAAAGCTACCGCCCAGCTGATGAGAAAACAAAAATGAAGTTAATGTTAATTACTAAGAAAAGTATTCCACAGTTTTATGTCAATTTTCATTGATTGTTCATTAAATATTGTAAAAAAAAATTAATTAAATTTAATCAATCGTTACACAAATTATTTAATCGCTTTTTGATGCATCACTCTCAGGTTCATCATCACTTGATGCTGGTGGAGTCTCTTTCTTTCCTTTTTTAGTTTTTTTCTTATCGTCCTAAAAAAAAAAAATAAATTTAATTAAAACCCTAAATAAGCGCAATTAAAAGAAATTAAATGAATAATCTTACAGCAGCAGAACGTTTCTCTCCTTTTTTAGGCTTCTCATCATCACTAACATCATCATTGTCATCATCATCATCATCATCATCATCATCATCATCATTATCATCATCACTTTTTGATGATTTTTTATTTTTTGAGCTGTCATCACTACTTTCATCATCACTGATGTACTCCTTGCTTTTAAATGAACCAGAGACTTTCGTTGGAGAACTATCTTTTTTAGTTTCTTTCTTTTCTTTTTTGGATTCTTTCTTTTTGTCACTTTTCTCTGGAGCCGTTTTATCCGTTTTATTGGCTTCATAATCTTTCATTTTTTCCGTCCATTCTTTTTTAGCTTTGGCTGCTTTTTGTTCCCATTCCTGAAACAAAATTTAATTATGTAATAAAAAAAAAAAAAAATAATAATAATAATTAATTGAATAAATAAATGAATAAAAATGAATTACCGATTTATCTTTCATCTCTTTCCACATCTCTCCAGCCTTTCTAGATACTTCAGTAACACTAATACCTGGGTTGTCTTTCTTAATTTGTTCTCTAGTAGCATTTAACCATAACATAAATGCTGAAGATGGCCTTTTAGGTCTGTTACTATCCTTTTCTTTTTTATTTCTACGTTGTTTTCGTGGTTTTTCTGATACTGTTTTAGCCGATTTAGATTTCTTTTTTTCTTTGTCCTTCTTCTTTTCTTTTTTACCGCTACCATCAGAACCAGCAGCATCTGAATCATCGTCACTGTCAGCAGAAGTACCAGGATTACTGTCATACTCTTCAGCAACATCACTTTCTTCTTGTGCTGGATTGAAATCTTCATCTGTGGATTCATCTTCTGAGTCATCCTGATTATTATCATCATCACGTTCTTTAGCTTCAGCTTTAACTCGTGCTAGGTAAGCATCAGGTTCATCTTCTTGGTCACTGCCACCGAAATCATTGTCGTAATTCATTTTATCTCCTTTACCACGGTTTTTAACACGTAATTTCTTAGATGATATGAAATCAAATAATTTGCCATACTCTTCTTTTTCAATACTGCTGAATGTATGAACAACACCACTTGTAAGTTCTATTTCAAAATCAAATGAACGTGTTGAACCGCCACCACGTGCAAAATTAACAGACGCTATTTCGTCAAAACGTATATGAATTGGTGGTTTGTGGACATATATAAAACCACGTTCAAGTGGATACAAATAACCAGCAGCAGCTTTAAATGAACATCCAATAGCTGGTGTTCCAGAGTGCCCTAAGAATCCACCAGGTCCTGTTAATTTACGATTGATTATTACTTTCATAACTTTTCCTAAAACTTCATAAGTTGGTCCTGATAATTCTTTAGTTAATTTATCTTCATACTTCTCTGTCAGCTCTTTATCAGTAAAGGGCAATTCAATCGACGTTTCTTCCTCTTGATTAAACAATAAAACAAGATAGTGATAACGAGTCTGACCTTGTTTAATTGGTGGATCCAAACTCACAACAAAGAACATTTGTCGACTGTCTTTGTGAGGCAATAAAAACAGCCTAAGTACCGTTGACATGGGAATTTTGTAGTCAAAAGTTTTACCATGCAATTGAAAGAATGTTTGAAATATTTTAATGTCATAACGACCACGTGGTGTAAGACATTGAATTTCTCTGAAAATAGCAATAGCATCACCACTGACGCTAATAACAGAAGCTTTCTCCATGACTTGTTGATGAAATCCATCAACAGGATCTTGATCAGCGCTGTCACTAACGGGAATGTGAAATCTCATCTCCATAAGACTCACCGGAGCATCATCATTTTGATGAAATTCTAGAGTTACTTCATTTTTACCAGTATTACATTGTGATACATCGCTAAGTGGAATTTCAAAAGCTGTGTGATGACCAACATCAAAACTCAAAACGGATCCATTAAATTTAGCGGTCCCCCAGTTCCAACCTTTTAAACTTAATTCTTTCTCCAGCATATCTTTTTTATAATTGGCGGTGAAAAATTTTGCAACTTTTTCCTGCTCACTTTCTTTAAATCCACGGAACCTGTGGAGAAGTCCATTCTTTAAAAATAAACGCAGACCCCAAGTTCCAACAAACTTTTGAAAATTGACCATCTCCAAATCATTTGCGGATATTTGTTCCACTTTTCCAGTTTTTTGATTTTTAAATATTATATGTTGGTCAGTCAACTTCAGACGACCGGGTGTCTAAAAATTGAAATTAATTTGTTTATACAAAGTATAAAGTTACTTATTACTAATAATAATATATATATATATGTTTAATATGATTATTATTAAACTTACCATTGCACCCTTAACCTCTGCAGTAATGTCAGGGTATTCCAAAAAATCAGTCATTTTTGGTCTTTATAATCTAAACAAATTTTTTATCTTTATAATTATCTTAAGAATATTCACTATTTATTAATTTAACAAATACACTTGTAATTATTTCTTTATAATTAACTTTTAAAATACATTATTAACCGGTGTAACGCTAGTTGCTAAGAGCAATTGTTAAAGAACGGCCCGCGTTTTCGTAGTAAACCAAGCTCTGTGAAGGTCCGTTTCTAACAAAACAACAGAGCATCACACACTACTTAACAAACTCAATATTCATGTACGTTTATTTTCTTATAGTCTCTTATTGTTCAAAAATTTCCATCAATTAATAGACACATTAATTTCATTAATTAAAGGAATTAATTTGATGATCAAATTTATTTTTATATTTTTGTATGTTAAAAGATCTTAATCACACATTTAGTCCTCAATAGTATTTAGAATTTAGAATTGTACAAAATAGCGCGAAATTTGAAATGTAAATTTGTTTGTTGATTATCTAATTTCGATTTTTTTTTTTCTAAAATTCATTCATGTAATTTAAAGAATATTAAATTAAAATAACAACAATTTTTTTTATTATTGAATGTGTTAACAATTTATAATTTAATCAATTTCTTTTCACCATTAAATGAACATAATTGTAGATAACGTCAAAAAAAAACTTTTTTTTTCAATTTACAAATTATACAATAATTGTAGGATAAAAAAAATGCACATAAATTTTTCTAAAAAATCTTCAAGTGCACTTTATTTCAAAGTTCAAATTACTCAAAAGATTAAATATTTTTATATATTGAAATATTTACTTTCATATAAATTAATATAATTTTTCCAACTTACTTGTATGTATTATTTTATTATTATTTAATTTTATAATATATTGTTAACAATAAAAATTGATGATATTAACCGTCGAGTAATTCTGTAATATCAGCAGTTGACCAAACAACAAATGTATAGAATTTTCTGGGCTTTACGTCGAACGTTCAACGTTCAGTTTGTTGGTGTTAGGTATTGTGCAATAACAGTAGTAATGAGTGTGTGTGTCAACTATCCATTCCCATTATCAATTTCAGAATACGTGGAGGATCTTAATATTGGTTAGACGGGCACCATCCGGATAATTATTCTCATAAAGTGTGGTTGAACGGAACTGGTCAATTCCGGTGGAAAGAGAGAGATATATCAAAGCATAACATAAAATGGTATTTGTAAAACTATAGTATATATATATATATATATATATTGTATATATTTAAAACCTTACCAACAAACTCTTAAACTCTTTAGTTAGAATTCTACACATACATATGCTACACGCAAATGCACTTCAAATATATACATTAAATAAAATATACATACATCTCCGCTATTAGATACTCTATCATTTTGTATTCTGTCATTCACAATTCACAACACTCTCTTCTACTCCTTCTACTTTCGTCGTATTAGTTCTCGCGGATATGGGTGGGTCTAAATAAATTAATAGTTTGTGTTATTTATAATCATTCTGTAAGTTTGTGAATAAAAGTGAAAGGTAATTTCAAATCTAATTAAGTGTTTAGTATTTGGGTTCTGTTAGATTAATTTATTTAAATATAAAATAACTCCAAAAATATTAAATGATTAAAAATTTGATAATAAATAATATAATATTTCTTAAATTTATTTAATTATTGTTGGTGGCTTGAAAGATTTTTTGACATCAACTGAGTGGGAATTTTTTATTTTTGGAAAAAAATGGCATCATTGTCACTACCTAGAGTTCTTCAACAAAGAAAAACAAGTTTGGATCTTGAACGTGAGCACTTTGAAAAATTTCAGGTGAGCTTAATGACAATGATTTTCTATCAATCAAAATAATAATTTCAATTAAATGCATGTGTGAGTATTTTTAAAAAAAAAAAAAACGTTCAAGGCAGAATGATTCATTTATTTACTTTCTCAATTTGTAATATATTAACAAGCATGAGATGCTAAGCGCATGGAATTAATTTAAATCAACGTATTAACAAAGTCATTCGGTTTAAATCTCTCACTAGATTTTCCACTTGGACTAAACTAAGTCAATAAATATAATAACTAAATAAAAAGATTAACGAGCGGACTAACGGACATTTTTGATGTTACTAAATAAATAATAAGACAGTTCTTCTGAATAAGAGACTTTTTTTTTTTTTTTTAATAATTATCCTAAAAATCCTCTTCATAATCATTCACAATGTCGCCAATATCTCCAGTATCAACTAAAAAATTACAACATCAGGTGAGATATAGCTTTGTTCTTTCTATTTTTTTTTTTTTTTTTTTTTTTTTTTTTTTTTTTTTTTAATTTTT